CCGGCTAATGTAACAGCGCCAATGAAATTTTAAAACTGTTCCGTACAGTACGCGCGATATTAGATCCATTAAATCCATTTCAGATGATTTTCATTGGTTCACGCAAATTTTCACAATATTTACAGATATATTTCAAATTTTGCTACGTGCGAATACTGTGAAAAGCGAAACGGAAACTTACTTTATGATACAGAAGTAGTTAACTGGCGGTCCTTGCCCCCACTTTCGCTATCCCCTCCACTGCGTCGATCTCCCCACTACCTTGAGACACAATACTCACGTTAAATACAATGTACGTATATATAGAGAAAAAAATATAATAATACAAAATGAAAAATTTAATAATGTAATATAATATAATACAGAATAAAAAAAACATAATAATAATAAAAAATTTCATATATAAAATTTATGTGTGTATCTGTATGTATAAAATTTATGTGTGATATAAAAAATATAATAATACAATAATAATAAAAAATATAAAAATATGATAATAATAAAAAATTTTATATATAAAATTTATGTGTGTATCTGTAGAAAGACAGAGGAAAGTAGTTTGCAGTGGGAACTAATTTTCATGGTGGAAGAGGTTTTCTGAGGAAACTACGATGGGAAAGAAGTTCACCACCTCTGACCTAATACGTTCGTAAAAAGTGTCTACGAGCCGTCGAATATTTATCGTGATCTTTCGTCAAGTGGACCTCTTGATTCCCGCGTCTCGATCGCAGCTGGCCCACTCTGCTCTCAACGAGATTTCAGTTCCACGCGTTACGTCATTGTCGCACGACGTTCCCTTCGAGGCGGTGATTTCATTTCTACGACTCGCTTCCGCCGCGGGTTGTAATTCATCCGTCGGTCATCGAAAGGGCATCCGTTAGGGCTACGCGAAAATTTCGCACGAAGGAATATTAAACGCGCGCGACCAGTCTCGACGAGGAGCAGAGAAATGGCCACAAGGGGCCTCGTAAATATTTAGATGGACGCCGATCGAGTTGACAGCACTTCTCTGTCCTCCTGCAACGACGAAAATCTTTCTCGTGCAGAGGTTCCTCGACTCTTTAACCTCTTAGCTGCGAACGACGAGCATACTCAATTCCTTCGGTCACGAAGAAATGGTAATTCTTTACCCGTCGTTAAATTCTTTGCGAAGAATAAAACGTATTTGTAAATTTTAGAATACTTTCTTCCTACATTAATTATTATTAATTAACATTAATCAAGTTGAAATTATTAATTTTTTTCAAAAAAAAAAAAAAAAAAAAAAAAAAACTGGCGTTACTTCTTTGTAATTTAATTCGTAGTGCGTTCGACGAGTATAATCGAAACACGACGCAGACGCGCACTTTTAAAAACGGCACGACGTTTAAGAGGTTAAACTTCCCTCTTTCTCTTTGCCTTGCAGGAAACGCGCGAAGAGAGAGAGAGAGAGAGAGATATTTCGCAGGAATTAAGCATTGCGCTGCCTGAAATGAAACTAAAATTCTGCGGTTGTCCGCAAC